CCATTTTTCTTTGCATTTTTGAAATCAGCATAACATTTCAGGTTAAATAAGCTTCAATTTTTAATTTTCTGTATATTATTTACCAAAGTAATCTGCCTCCTTAAGACACTCATATTACCGCTGCGTAGATAGATATACAGACGTCATAGCACAGCCAATAAGTTTTCATTAACTCCACTGTATTTATTTTTCCCTCGTGATGTTATGTTATTCACACTGAAGCCGCGAAATGCATCTAAGAAAGTGTCCTTTATATGAAAAAAATTATGCACAAATTTTGGCAAGATCTTTATTATTATTATTATTGAAATCGAGATCGATTAATTCGGTCCTATCTTGCTTATTCCATTGAACAGCTTTCTTGCAATGAGACGTATTTATATACACTTATTTCAATAAAGTTAGTCACTTGAAAAGCTATAATGCTGAGGCCGACAAGGATTATGGGTAAATTCATTTTACACGTTCAACCGCTTGATAACTGTTGATGGACTTACGAATCTTTTACCGGTTATAGTCTCACCTCTTCTGAGCATCATCGAGCTGCAGTTTGTATTAAAAAAGCTTTGTATATATATGCTTTTTTGATATGAAAAGTTTCCCATGATGCTCAGTGATCTCAGCTTTCTAGGTTTTTGGTGACTAGCTTTATTGAAATAAGTGTATAAATGTGTTTCATATTTATTTAAAACACTCATATTGCCGCAGTGTAGCCTAGATATACAGACGTCATAGTATAGCCAATAAGTGTTTAGGTCTGTGTTCATTAACATCGCTGTATTCGTTTTTTTKKTTTTKKTTTTTTTKKTTTTTTTKGKKKTTTTTYTTTTGTTTTTTGTTTTTTTTTTGTGATGTAATATTATTCACAAAACCGCGAAAATGACCTAAAATAGTGTCCTTTATATACATACAAAAGTATTAGAGTTTGTAGAAAATTAAATGAAGACATGAATAAGGAAAATAATTAAACTTCACACTGTGAAAAAATTATAATTCCATTCTAGTATTCATCAATTCATAACAGCTGTCCTATTTGTCATAAATAATAGAAACAACAGCCTTATTTATATTTATAACCGTATTTCAAAGTGTAAAAGTACTGATAACTACATTTCTAAAATCCGTAGCCAGATGAGTAAGACATTTCCTTATATACTTTCCTCATTGAGAAAGAGCCAGTTTTGCTCTTGATGTAGTTGTTGTACCGTTGTACATGTTGGCCTTTTTTCTTTTTTTTTTCGTTGTTGTTGTTGTTGTTTTTGTTGCTTTTTTTGTTGTTGTTGTTGTTTTTTTTTGTTGTTGTTGTTGTTTTTTTTGTTTGTTTGTTTGTTTGTTTTTGTTATTTGTTCATTTTTCTTAAGCTGTTTTATTTTCTTCTTGCCGCTTCTTCTTTTTATGATTTCATATGCTTATTTCCCTTTGTCTTCCCCTTTAATTTTTTAAAAAGATATAACTAGCTAAAAACTAGTATGAGCTGCGTCGGTGTTTCTAATGAAACAGTAATGATGAAAAGGTAAATTATACACCGTGAAAAGATGAAAAAACTTATTGACGTTTCGGACGCCAGTCCTTCGTCGGAGTAAAGCTCTCCGACGAAGGACTAGCGTCCGAAACGTCAGTAAGTTTTTTCATCTTTTCACGGTGTATAATTTACCTTTTCATCATTACTTTAGTTTCTTTAAATTTTTTTCCTTCTTCTTTTCTTTCTTTCTTTCACTCATTCATTCTTTCTAGTTTCTTTCTTTCCTTTTTTCTGTCTATCTTGCTTTTATTGTTTTGTTGGGGTTTTTTTTGGTTTTTTTTATTTATTTATTTATTTTTTTTAAATTTTATATTCTTTTTTCTTTAATTAGTTTCAAATCTGCTAAATACCGATCATTTCCTTTTCCTTTCTTTGAAAATCAGCAGGCTAACTACTCCAACGGAAAATTTCAATTTAAAATATATTCAAATTGGACACTACTGTAATAGCCACAGGCAAAGTGTAGTTAGTTCGTATAATAGCCATATGCTATCAAAAGAGTTTTTCAGTTGTAAACACAGCCGGTGATAGTGAACTAAGTGTGTTTGAAAAGCGAGTACAAGGCTCATTATATATATAGTATACTCGGATTTTTTTATTGAACCTATTGATTGCTACTATTAGTTTGGAACCATCATTCAAGCGGCTCTTACAGCGTTTTCAAAAAAGACCTTCATTAAGACGGTTGTTATGACAAACTAGTTATCATTCGTTTGTTCAGCTCAGAATTGATCCCTAGCTACTTAACTTCATCATTCTTTGCATTTTGCATCATTATCATAAGATGAACTGCAAAATTGAAAAGACTGTTAGTGTTCATAAATCAAAGAAGATAGACTTGTAAAGTGAGAACGGAAACGTTGACAGTATTTTGATACATGTATCTTATTAGACATTTTAGGGTGCTGTATAAAAGAGGATATTTTTTTCAAGTCTGCAAGAACGTGATCAGTACACAGCGGTTAGAGACAGTGTCTTATCACCGCGGCATGCCCACCCATATCAACCCTAACTATTTTGCCAGCTATCCCTAATATTCCTATAACTATTTTGCCATTTTTTAAAAAAGCTTTCTCTCTTATTACAAATTTATTGACGTTTCATGGCAATTGGCCATAAATTTTAAAACGATAGATTACCTTAAATAAACGAAATATATTTGATCGAGTCTATTCTTAAACTACATGAATGTAAAACCCCGACACATACTGAAAAAGTACGTGCAGCAGTTAAGTAGATCAATTAACACTTTTTATGCAAATACAGTTTTTTACGGATGCTCCTACGGATGTTTTATGGGTGTATCATGCAATACTCCCATTTCGAGTTCGCCTTTGCTCAGTCCTAGCCTCGATTATGTACAAATGTGTTCCAATTCTTTTATTAAGGTGCACTGTATAGTAAGGTCTGTATGAACTACGGAACAATACGGGTTTTGGTTAAATAGCGGAATATTATAACACACAACCGAGACTATTAAAGGCTTCAGGGACGGATCAAGGATTTTACAAAGGGAGTGGGTGATCTTATTCAAAGCTCCTTGAAGGTATCTATTCTCCATCGTTATTAACTAAAATGGCTGTCGAGCTGGATAACCAATATGGAACATGAAAACGAGGTTTTGCACGGATGAACGCTGCTGATATGAACTACAGGCTCTCTAGACGAAAATGTGCAAAACTGACGGAATCTCAATATGAATCGATGGTTATCAGTATTAGTTATATGTCGCATATTTTGGTGTCATCAATTTCTTGTCTTCTTGCTTTTTCATTTTATAATTATAATCATTATTACGATTAATGTRATCCATATTGTGTTCTGATAATCATTATTTACAATAATGACATCGTTAACATAATTAACATCAGTTTTAACCATTTGTTGTGTGTTATTATTATTATTATTATTACTATTACTATTATTATTATTATTATTATTGTTACTATTATTATT